AAGTAATGTGCTTTCAGCGCACAGCCTTTATCTGTCATTCCTCCCATAGACAGACACCTGTTCTGGGATGAATAGAGGGAAAACCACCATATGCGCAAGGACTTCATCAATCACATGAGGTGGGTAGATAACTTTCATTCATTCGTTTTCCTTCGGCTTAGTCTCTATTTCAGGGGTCGCCACAGCAGAATGAACCGCCAGCTATTCCAGCATGTGTTTTACGCAGCTGATGCCCTTCCAGCCGCAACCCAGTCCTTCACACTCATACACAATGGCCAATTTAGTTCAAAGTAGTTCAATGTTCTACTCTGTGGAGATTTCCTTTATGCACACATATACATATTTATATACATGGCATACACTACCTGACAAAAGTCTTGTCGCCTATACGAGATTTAGGAACAACAAATGATAAATTGACTTCTAGTTGATCATTTGGTATCAAAAGTGGCTTATATGAAAGGCAAAGGCCTCTAGATTACACTTATTTGACAAAAATATAATATGATCATGCCTTGATTTTTAATGATTTCATTAGGACAGTAAGGTCGGACTTTGCTTTGACAAAAGTCTTGTCACTGAACAGAAATAATGTCCAGTATAGAATATAAAGTCCTGCTGCAGTGGAAACATAATGAATATTGTCATTCAAGAATGACTCCATCATGATCTTGGAGGACTGCATCCATACATCTCTGCAATGACTCCAATAACTTATTAATAAAGTCATCTGGAATGGCGAAGAAAGCGTTCCTGCAGGACTCCCAGTTCATCAAGATCCTTTGGATTCATCTTCAATGCCTCCTCCTTTATCTTACCCCAGACATGCTCAATAATGTTCATTTCTGATGACTGGGCTGGCCAATCCTGGAGCACTTTGACCTTCTTTGCTTTCAGGAGCTTTGATGTGGAGGCTGAAGTATGAGAAGGAGCGCTATCCTGCTGAAGAATTGTCCCTCTCCTGTGGTTTGTACTGTAATGAAGCACAAATGTCTTGATACCTCAGGCTGTTGATTTTTTTATTTTTTATTTGTTTATTAAACTTTTCAGATATAACAAAGTATTTTTACAGAGAAATTTAAACAGATATTATTCCCACCCCTACCCTCTACATAACATAAATTGAAATTACATTTATCATTTAAAGAAAGAAGAAAAAAATTACTTACCATAATAACAAAATAATAATCAAATAAATAAAAACAATTAAGTAAATAAAATGAATAAACTATAAAAATAAAAATTTAATAAATAACTCAAAATTATAAAAAACGAGTCCTCGGATATTAATGAAGTACCTAATCATGTGACATGCTCAGAAAAAAAAGTCTAAATGGGTCCCATGTTTCAGAAAAGGCCCTAGTATTGCCATTTATTGTAAACCTAATTTTTTCCAAGTGGATGAAGCTCATTGCGTCTCGCAACCAGTTGTCAAAACTCGGAGGAAATCTTTGTTTCCATAATAACAGAATACAACGTCTTGCTAACAGTGTCAAAAATGCAAGGGCGTTTGCAGTACAGCTTGATAACCCTACTATATTCTGGGAAAGTCCAAAAAGTGCAATAAGAGGGCATGGTTCAAAGGCTGTTGATTTTAGCGTTCACTCTGTAGATCTCTCCATACTGAATGTAACCCCAAACCATGATTTTTCCTTCACCAAACTTGACGGATTTCTGTCACAATCTTGACTCCATCCTGGTTGCAGTAGGTCTTCTGCAGTATTTGTGATGATTGGGATGCAGCTCAACAGATGATTCAGTTGAAAAATCCACTTTCTGCCACTTTTCCAAATGATTAACTACAAGTCAAGCTATTATTTGTTGCTCTTACAACTGAGATCAACGACAAGACTTATGTCAGGTAGTGCATTTTGAATCCAACACAAAGGTCATATTTAGAGATAAGCACATAAGATTCTTGTAATGCACATAAGATTTTTGTAATGCCAAATTTAAGTAAACAACTTTTTCTGAGGATGTGTATTGGTAAAAGTCCAGGAATTCAGTCTTCACCACAGTCAAGTCTCACAAAAGCAGTTCATCATCAGAACAAACAGTGTCTAATTAACCTTAAAACAGTGAGAATGCGAAAGAAACTCGAAGAACAGAAGAAACGGTGCACTGTTTCTCTTCAAATGCTGCTGATGCTACAAAAGCAGGGAGGGATCAGTCATTTTCGGGGCTGACAATTAAAAAGCCACAAGTCCTTTATACCACAGCGCTGGCATTTCCTCTTTCTTTAAAAGTGAAGGTGGCTGTGGAAACAGGAGACATGTAGGGCTCTGCTTTCAATTACACAAGAACAGCAAAAGCAAAAAGGCCCAGAGAGTCTTTCTTCATGACGTATTCACTCTCACGTTTACTAATAAATCTGATTAGTCACCTGCTGATGTGAATGAGACACAGACTGTTTTGCATTGGGGTTTGCTGCTCATGCAATAGGACTGTGCAATGCTGGAAAAACTGAAAAATAAATTCTGTATTGTAAAGAGCGATATATTTTTCGCATTGGAAATTCATCTTGTACTGTATATACACTTGAAGTCTGTATATACACTGTATATACACTTGAGAGAATTGTTAGCCCTCCTAAATTATTATGCTGCGTTCACACCAGACGCGGAACGCGTGTCAAGCGCGAGTGATTTACATGTTAAGTCAATGCAAACGCGCGAATAGACATCCTGCGGCGCGATCCGCGTGAATGGCGCGGAGCGAATGATGCGAATTGTGCGGTGCAAATAGCGAGATACGCGCGAGGCGAATTGAACGTTTGCGAGTTCGAAAATCTGAACTTCAGCGTAAATTTGCGCCGCATTAACAAATCAGAAGCTTGCTCTTGTGGGGGCGTGATTGTGACGTAAAACCTGTTGATGGTGTCCCGGGGCAAATCCTCCAGTTGACAGCGACAACAAGTCATCAAACTGGGCTTGGCTCAGTCAGAGGCACCGCTGAAAGTCTCCGTCATCCAGGTTCAGTTTCTGGTGGAGTTTATGAGCTCACAGAGCTGGATGCACCTCTGAAAGGATGCAGTGGACTCATACAGGACCCTAAACGTATCGACGCTGTTTTTCAGTCTCCATAAAGCACATAAACACGGTTATTTTTTTAAATAAAATCTATGTTAGCCATTTAGCTATGAAGCTAGAGTCACCGGGCAGACAGAAGCCCTGCCAATCACGCGAATCCGCGTCTGTTCTGAAGTGAATTTGACACGCGATTGAAGCGGATTTGACGGGCGAATGAAGCGGGGGTTGACTCGTGAATGAAGCGAGTAAACTCAAATGTTCACGCGGCAATTTACGCGCGAATAGCGCTGTTTATCCGCGCGTTCCGCGTCTGGTGTGAACACAGCATTGGCCTCCCAGTATATTTTTACCCAATTTCTGTTTAAGGGAAAGAATATTTCTTCTACACATTTATAATAATAATAAATAATAATAGTAATAATTCCTTACATTTATATAGCGCTTTTCTGGGCACGCAAAATGCTTTACACATAGGGGGAGTCTCCTCATCCACCACTAGTGAGCAGCATAAACCTGGATGATGCAACGGCAGCCATTTTGCAGCAGACTGCACACCCCACACAAGCTGATTGGTTGAGAGAAGACAGAGTGATGAAGCCAGTTATGAAATGGGGAGGGTTAGGATGCCATAATGGACAGAGGCCAGTGGGCAAATTTGGCCAAGATGCCAGGGTCAAACCCTACTCTTTTTTTGAAGGACATCCTGGTATTTTTAACGACCACAGAGAGTCAGGACCTCGGTTTAACGTCTCATCCAAAAAATGGCGCTCACTAAGCAATATAGAGTCACCGTCACTACACTGGGGCATTAGGACCCACACAGACCGCAGGTTGGGCGCCCCCTGCTGGCCTCACTAACACCACTTCCAGCAGCAACCTAGCTTTCCCATGTGGTTCCCATATGGTCTCCCATCCACATTCTAAACATAAACGTTTTAATAACTCATTTTTAATAACTGATTTCTACTGTCTTTGTCATAATGACAACAAATAATATTTGACTACGTATTTTTCAAGATACTCGTAGCTTAAAATGCAATTTGAAGGCTTAACTAGGTTAATTAGGCAAGTCATTGTATAGCGATGGTTTGTTCTATAGACAATTGCGGGTGACTTAGAGGAAAGTGAACAGCTGTTTGAGGAGGGGGATCCGTAAAATGAGGTGCCGGATCAGATTTCAGAGGTGCCGGATCCGGAACCGGCTTGCTCCGCCACAAATTAAACCAAATGTTGCCATGGGCCAACATTGGGTATCTCTAGTCTACAGAATAAACCACTGTTATATAATGACTTGCCTAATTACCCTGACTTTAACCTAATGAACCTAGTTAAGCCTTTAAATGTCACTTTAAGCTGAATACTAATGTCTTGAAAAATATCAAGTCAAATATTATGTGCTGCCATCATGGCAAAGATAAAATAAATCAGTTATTAGAAGTTATTAAAATTATTATGTTCAGAAATGTGTTAAAATGTATGTATTTAAATAAATTGCAGATTGCAATTTAACTATGCTAAGCCATAGAGAAATATTGTTCATACTGCAAGATATCATGCAGATCTATCATAAAATCAGCTGACATTTGAATCCAACTTCAACCATTTCCAATTCCATCGCTTCAAAATGTACTGTCGTAATTATACACTCTTCACAATATAAGTGTCAAAAATGCCAATTGTTTCGAAACTCCAGTGCACTAAGAAGCCTTTTCTGGCTCTGCAGATGGTTTTGGGTGGCATGTGGGAGAAAACATTCAAATAAATCAGCCACATATGATGAGAAACACCTCGTGTAAAGAGATCCACAATCTCCGGCTTGAGTTACGCCCCACGGCACACGTAATACGGTTTCATAATAAAAACACCCATGAGAAAACTACAGGTCATGCTAACATGCGATGAATCACATGCCTGGAACGCAGATGCGTGTGCTTTTTATTATGGCGGTGATCCTGAGGAAACGTGTCTTACCATGTGATAGTTGACGATTTCCTGAAGACTCTCGCCACACTTTTCAAGACATTCCTGAAAAGGACGAGAATAACCAGGACTGAGTATTGTCTGAGTCGTTTATGTTAGATGGATAAAAGTTGTCTGGGGAACTCACTGAGATCATCTCCTCTTTTTTGCAGTGGTGAGACAGGTCTCGAATGCCATTGACGAAGAGTTTATTGGCAGTGGCGTACGCCCGTCCCGCTTCGATCATACCACTGCATAGCTTCACCAGCTGATGCAGAGAGAGAGAAAGAGACACAACACAGCGTTTGTTGTCATGTTCAATGGACTATTTTCACATTTCTGGGTTTCTCAGTAGTGTATATGTCATCATGTTTGGGTGAACTTGAATGGGAGAGTACAACAAACTGTTTTTAACGTCCCACCTCCGTACACTTTGCATTAGAAACGCCTCGCATAAGCGGTAATTCATCGTTTGTAATTTGATGCAAAGATGAAATAATCAGTGCTTGACATTAACACCCGCCAAATGCAGGTAGATTTCAGCTCTGGGGGGTTAGATAGACACCACCACTAGCCACTTTGGCTGGTTGAAAATTATTTTTAAATTGAAAGCAGGGTTCGACAATAAGGATGACACATTATGCATGCAAATGTGATCTTAAAATCGCGCTAGCAGCTGATGTGATGCGTGTGACTGTTTAAAAAGCGTGCGCGCTCCCGTTTCCTTGCGTGAAGCAACCACGCCTAAAAATGCAACTGGTGTGATCGGTTCTCCTTCAAATAGACTTGACAAAAAGTTATGCCCATGCCCACACAATCTTGCTGCTTTCAAGAGCTCCAGATTTGTCTTTTTGTAAGCAGCACCGGTTGCTTTCACTTTAACCATTCTTTGAACAGAATATTAATTGGCCTAACCTTAACCATGTGATCATCCTTTCATACACAGTATGCTTTTCACCTGCTTTCTTTTGTTTAGTTATTCTTGTTAATAAGGTTTAATTTTCATTTGTTTACAATAGCATTGCTTTAATAGGAGATTAAGTCCCCATTTGTGTGTAGTTACTGGTGATCTGGAACCCAGAACCGATTATTGTGCTAATTTTAGATACATAACAATAATTATTTTTTTAAATGCCTTCGTTTGTTTTGTTTGTTTTTTAAAGAAATGTTTTGTTACATAAAAAATATACCGGACAGCTATATTTTGCTTGTTTTAATTTTTGGGGATAAGAAATAATTATATATTTATGTTTGGAGAGATACATTTGGTAAATCCTTAATTTTGATATGACACTATAGCCCCTTTCACACAGTGATACCGGTAAATATCTGGAAAATTTCCGGAACGACTTTACCGGTATATTCAAAAAAGCGCTGTTCACACAGGCGAGGACGTTACGGAAATTTTCCGGAAAAGAGCATTCACACATCCATTCCAAAATACCGGTAAATTCTGACATCATTAACCAGAAATGAGCTTTAAACGGCTGCGCTTGTGTTTGTAAACATTTGACTAAATTACAAACTCTGTGGATGATCAATATTGTGAACAACTTTCGCTGGATCACTTTAGCATGTCGAGATGTTCATAATATGTGCGTGTGCAGGCGCTCACAGGCTGTTTCACAGGCACACGCAAAGCTTGAAGGTAAACAAACAACGGCTTATCATAAGCATCTCATCGATGATTATTTACACAGTTGACATTAAGAAGAACATATTAACGTGATCTGACTAACTTCTAGCAGCTAAATGTGTCTGGTAAAATATTCAAAGGCTTTTATTCTCACAAACCGCACGGACATAAATGCGTCTGACTGTTGTGATTGGCTAAAGCAGACGTCTCACGTCAGCACGTTCTAGACGTGCACGCGCTTATTCCGGCAATCTTCCTTCTGCGTTCACACAGCGCAGCATTCCGGCAAATTGCCGGTAATGTTACAACTTCTCTTTCCGGAAAATAGCCAGAACGAATTTACCGGTATTTTCAAAAAGGACCTGTTCACACATACAACCTTTCCGGAAAATTGCCGGCAATTTTCCGGAAAGGTCTGTATGTGTGAAAGGGGCTTATGAAACCACAACCCATTTGCTCATGTTCATTGAGCAAGCTTATATACAACACACACAAAAAATGAAATGAATTAGGCATGTGGAGATAACACAAAATCTAAATCGTAATAAAAAAAAGATACGTATTAGCGCTGATTCTAAACATCCTCTTTTTAGTGAATATCAGCTGTTACCATCAGGAAAAAGACTGAAGCTATGTTTCCATCCAAAAATGCGAATAAACTTTATGCACAAAACTGGATTATCGCATAAAAGTTGTGCGAATGAAGCAGCGTTTCCATCCAACGAGTCAAAGCGAACAAAATCGTCACTTCATGATTAACCGGCGCCAAATATCAACAGTAAAAACTGCATTTGCTGCAGTAGGAGAAGCTGCATCAATCTTTTCTAAATGAATGCGCCTCAGAAGACAATCCTGACATGCAGTGAGCGCGCAGTGGCGTTTGAAGGTGTCAGACAGGGAGCACAGGCGCTCTTGATTCTGGAGGTCATTAATATTATAATAACACTAATACTGAAACGGTAAGGCGTTTTATAATGACCAAAACAACATTTCAGATGTTTTATAATGTGCTCAGCCTGACGTTTTGTCCATTCACACACATTTTAAGTAAAAGTGTTTCCATCGCAGTTTATGCGCATCTTTTCTTATCGAATAAAAAGTTTATCCTACCCAGTTAGGCGCATACGTTTTTTATGCGCATTTTCAAAATTTATGCGCATCATGTCATTTCCATCAACTGTTTTTTTTTTATGCGCATTTGCAAAATGCAAAATAGGTGGATGGAAACATAGTGCCAATGTGTAAAACCAATAGACTGAAGCTTTCGTTTGTTCCTACCTCGATAAAACTGTTGAACTCCACGAATAGTACTTTAGCACTTGACTGGGTTCTGTGCTTTATATATTTATACTTATATACAGTCTTATTCTGTAAACAATGTATGTTCTTATATATTACAGTGCATTCGGAAAGTATTCATAGCGCTTTCCACATTTTTTCTTTTTTTTAATGTAACAGCTTTATTTATTTATTTATTTTTTAAATTGTTGCATAATTTCATTTGGTTTAAAACTAGTTTAATTTGCTCTAAAGCGACTCAAAAAGCCCTGTTTACAATTACACTACTTTTAAAATGCTAGAATAGCATCTTAGAACTTTTATTTGACCTTTTATATGAGCATCTTACACTAAATTACACAAATTAAAAGTATAGACCATTTTGTGGAATGCAAACAATAGCATTGCTCTTAATGTATTTCCTGCTCTACATTTTTAATTTCCATGGCTTCCGAGAATCCAAAAAGGTCCACATATTGATAAATAATGTTATGATAGTTGTCTTAACGTGAAAATGTGATTGTATTGCCTCTTGTTACAGTTATGATATAGTTTGAAGCAGGGAATGTTCAAGGGCCAATGACATTATCACAAGGTCTATGAAGTTTCTCATGTTGCAAAACGCATGCAATAATGAGCAGACGCTGCAGATTTGGAAGCTGCTTATTATATTCTGAAGGAGCAAATAGCTGTAAGACTGCACATGCCTGATGCAGATATTCAGCATCCTAAAGCTAAATGGGTTTCTCTCTCCATCTCCTTTAATCCTGTATGGCGTACGAGCTGGGATTTAGCTCGGCGCACACATTTGTTATGCTGTTTGATCCATGTGGTAATGTGCAAGACCTTAGTTAGCTCAGCATTCAGAAGGCATCAGACCTACAGTACATCTCTCTTAAATGAGGCGACATGTGTCCCTATGCACGAACTTACACTATTTACTCAGCTGTGTAGATTATTCTGAAGTTGTCATGTAGCGTTGGCTATTTTGTTGTTGTTAAATAAGCACGTCGTATAGGTGTTTAATCGCTTTGCAATTTTTAGTTTGAATAACTTACAGTACATATGCAATGTTGTGAATACAAAAAGGCACAGAATAGTCTGCGAGTACACAAATTGGGATCTTTTTTTCATACCTTGTCAAGCTTGGCTTCGATTTCCACCACATCAGTCTCTACTTCATCAATATTCGCCCTGCAAAGACACAAGAAAAACACATTATTATTAGGGTTGTGAATCATTTGGGGTTATTTCGATACCGGTGCTAAATCGATACTTTTAAAACAGTACCAGTGCCAAAACTGATGCTTTTGAGCCACAAAATTATAGCGGATGACTCTAGAAAAACTTTTCATTTGACAAAAAAAATATTTTAATCATTTTAATTGAACAATGTAATTAAAGTTTAAAGTATGCATCAGTTCATATTTTATATATTTGAATTGCGTTAATATATTTATTTTGATCCTTTTTTTCAAGGATTGGGGCTTGTCACTATGTTTACACCAATGACTGTAAAAAATATGGACGACGCGACAGCCCCTTTTCCCATTGAACGCCTTGAGGGCAAAACGCCTGCTTGACGGGCACAAACTGTCGCAAAAGACTGCTGAAATTGGAGCCGTGACATGCGCAGAAGGACTGTCGGATGGAGCCAGAGGAGGAGCCGCGAAAATGAGCGGAGTCGAGCTTCCAATCAAACGCTTTATGTAAAATAAACCACGCCCCCCAAACTTCTCAGCATGCGTTTGCTGTCATATCAACACAACTGGATGTAATAACGTTAACAAATATGAGGGTTTTATATATTCAATCGCGCCAGCTCCAGGCCGCAGCGCACATATCCTACTCGCGGCGTCACGGGCTGATTCCGGCTCGCATGCGGCAGCGCCGGCTCGCTCGGCCGCCGCATCTGGCTCGATTGACTCGGGCTGGAATCGGGCAGTGAGTTCAGGCATCCGGAGAAGGTCCAGCAGAGGTAGTCAGTCTGAGCTCTGAGGGGTAAGTCTCCGGCAGGCTAGAATCTAGCTGGAACTGGCTCGAGTGTATTTTGCTATCTGGGTGGTTAGGCGTGTATCAGCAAACTAATAAAGCCCGAAAAAAGCCCTGACCTTAGCGAATAAACAGTGTTCCACCAGGATCATGTATGTCAGAAACTATAGTTCACTGCTGAACTCATTTTATCATGGTAAAATAACACAGAAATCGAAAAATAACACTTCAGTCTCCTGCCGAAGCTCAGACGCGCTGCTTTGAGAAACTGTCAATCACAGCTGTCAATCACGATGACACGCCCAGCATTAAATTACTGCTAAAAACAAACTGTTTACAAAAATGAAGATCTGCACCTATTTCAGCACAATAACCAGTGCCTTAATCCACCAGAACCATCTTTCGGGACATTTTATTGCAAGTGTAATATTTTCTTCCTTCATTAACACGGAGGAGGCGGGCTTTATGACTTGTACTGTAGCCAGCCCCCAGGGGGCGATCTAACGGCCGAGACCTTCACTCAAACGCAGGCTTGCGGCACACTTGGTTTACACGTACATTCTTTCATGTTCATGTTTTACATGTTATAGCGCATACAGTGCATCCGGAAAGTATTGATAGCGCTTCACTTTTCCACATTTTTAATGTTACAGCCTTATTCTAAAATGGTTTAAATTAATTTATTTCCTCAAAATTCTACACACAATACTCCATAATGGCAATGTGAAAAAAAGAGTTTTTGAAATTGTTGCAAATTTATAAAAAATTAAAAAAGCTGAAAAATCAGATGTACATCAGTATTCACAGCCTTTGCTCAATACTTTGTTGATGCACCTTTGGCAGCAAATACAGCCTCAAGTCTTTTTGAATATGATGCAACAAGCTTGGCCACAAGATGTTCAATCGGATTTAGGTCTGGGGTCTGGCTGGGCCACTCAAGAACATCCACTCCATTGATAATTTGGTGGTGTGCTTTGGGTCATTGTCCTGCTGGAAGATGAACCGTTGCTTCAGTCTGAGGTCAAGAGCACTCTGAAGCAGGTTTTCATTCAGGATGTCTCTGTACATTGCTGCATTCATATTTCCCTCTATCCTGACTAGTCTTCTTGCTGCTGAAAAACATCCCCACAGCATGATGCTGCCACTGGCATGCTTCACTGTAGGGATGGTATTAGTCTGGTGATGAGCGCTGCCTGCTTTTCTCCAAACGTAACGCCTGGCGTTCACTCCGAAGAGTTCAATTTTAGCCTCATCAGACCAGAGAAGGTTGTTTCTTATGGTCTGAGAGTCCTTCAGATGCCTTTTGGCAAACTCCAGGCGGGAAGTGTCTTCCACCTGGCCACACTACCTGATTGGTGGTCTGATTGGTGGATTGCTGCACAGATGGTTGTCCTTCTGTAAAGTTCTCCTCTCTCCACAGAAGAACGCTGGAGGTCAGAAAGAGTGACTGTCGGGTTATTAGTCACTTCCCTGACTAAGGCCCTGCTCCCCCGATCAATCAGCTCAGATGGCCGGCCAGCTCTAGGAAGAGTCCTGGTGGTTGCAAACATCTTCCACTTACAGATGATGGAGGCCGCTGTGCTCATTAGAACTTTCTGTGCAGCAGAAATGTTCCTGTAGTCTTCCCCAGCCTTGTGCCACCAGACAATCCTGTCTCGGAGGTCTACAGACAATTCCTTTGTCTTCATGCTTGGTTTGTGCTGTCAACCCTGGGACCTTATATAGACAGGTGAATGCCTTTTTAAATCATGTCCAATCAGCTGAATTGAGCACAGGTGAACTCCAATGAAGCTGCTGAAACATCTCAATGATGATCAGTGGAAACAGAATGCACCTGAGCTCAATTTAGAGCTTCATGGCAAAGGCTGTAAATACTGATGTACATCTCATTTTACAGCTTTTTTATTTTTAATAAATGTGCAACAATTTCAAAAACTTTAGATCGTCATTATGGGGGATTGTGTGAGGAACTTTAAGGAAATAATTGATTAAATCCATTATGGAATAAGGCTGATACCTAAAATAAATGTCATTGCATTACCACTCCATCCACATTTCCTCCGGAGTTTCATGTTATTTCGGGTGTTTCATTTATATATTTTTTTTACTTTAACTGTAGTTCGGCAGTTTCACTTTCATTCAGGAACATATTGGTCATGCCCAGTGAAAAACATTGAGGAATTGGATCAGAATATAAAGTAAAGACTGGTGAAAGAGTGCTGTTTTAAAGGAGTTTGAGACCGCATGCCAAATAGAGAGAAAAAACCTCCGCACTTTATGACACGGGTGTCTGTGGTCCACATAAATGTAATAAAAAAGCTGTCAGAGACAGCGCATTCCACACATCGTCTCCAGTCCACCCCATGAACAACACCACACACCAGCTTCCACATAAAGTAGATGTGCACTCAGGTCTGCTAGAGGCTTTTAAGCCGTGTTCACCGGATACGGCTGACTGCACAGAGATGTATCTTTTATTATACCGTTGCCCTTTTGACTTCAATGACTTACGGTTGATCTCAGAGCTTATTTGTTCCTAATAGAAAGACTAAGACTTGCCATCTTCACAGTGCAGCGAGCACGATCTATGATTAGGCCATAGCTTCATGAACATCAGTTTCACAAATACACAATGACACATCTAATCTCACGCCGTCTGAAAGCCTTCCTAATCCCGTTTAGATTCCAGCTAAAAGCCAGTGCTCTGTCTGCTCGCCTCAGTTGGTGCATGTTTGAAGAAACAGCACTGAGACGTCTGAGGTTTTCACGAGTCCCTCAGCAGCTCTGCTCGTCCTCCACACTGCACGCTCTGTTACTTACATTGATCACATTAGCTAACTAAAACGAGGCCAACAGGAGTTAAGGCATGAAGCTAATGTGTGGATATATATATATATATATATATATATATATATATATATATAGTTGAAGTCAGAATTATTCGCCCCCTTTGATTTTTTTTTTCTCTTTTGAATATTTCCCAAATTATGTTTAGCAGAGAGAGGAAATGTTCACAGTATGTCTGATAATTTTTTTTCTTCTGGAGAAAGTCTTTTGTTTTATTTCGGTGAGAATAAAAAAAACTGTTTTAAATTTTTTTAAAACCATTTTTAGGACAATATTATTAGCCCCTCAAGCTATATTTTTTCCTCCATAGTCTACAGAGCAAACCATCATTATACAATAACTTGCCTAATTACCCTAACCTGCCTAGTTAACCTAATTAACATCAGATTATAATGTCAGGATGAACCGATCTGAGATCGCTGCGCGTGTTGTGAAGGACTGATCTATCGATCTGCAAAATCATGATCAGCAATGCAACTATTGGCTGATGGCACAGCAGCGAAATGACATCATCTGATTAATATTCAACTATCCATGTGAGCAAAATTACATAAAAATTAGCAGTAAACGGTTTGTTAAATAAAAAACGCATTAACTTTCCACCTTTGTTGTAGGCTGCAGGCTTGGCCCTTTCATGTGTGAAGAGCAATTTATATAGTTTTACAGTTAGAGCGAGTTTTCCTTATTATAGTAGCCATATTAGTATATTTGTAGACAATTTTTTAATCGATGTGAAGAATAACTGGATGTTTACAAAAGCATTTTGATATTGGTAAAGGCATCTGCAACTTTTGAAGCATCAAATCACTGTCATATTAGCTGTCCAAACATGTTTATGACTTAATCACATATAAAAAGTCACATATTGTGCATGTCTATTATCATACACAAATTGTACTTAAGCGATCTAAAAAGTTCATATCAATAAGTTTTCTCTTTGCACCACCAGGTGGCAGTCTTTGTACTTTAATTTCTGCGGTGCAGATTGCATAAGTTTTATTATATATATATATATATATATATATATATATATATATATATATATATATATATATATATATATATATATATATAGTTACATTTTTACAATTTTCCCAAGCGTATATAACTACTACTGTAAGAAAATATCATCATTAGGTACATACTTTCAGTATTTTCTTTGCTTGAACTAAGCCGATCAAATCCTGTTTATATGAATTGAACCTGCTTCCGACCAGGTTTGAGCTACCAGAATTGTTGCTATGACAACAACTCTCGGATCAGTTTTGAAGAACGAAACGATCCTGGATCATGTCAAATCGTCAATAACCAAATCCAGCTAACTGAGTAATCCACGTACGAAGAACAGACCCCTG